TTCTTGCAGTTGATTTTATTGTTTGTGTGTGGGGGGAGCAGTAATAAAAGTCTTAAGTGCATGATTGCCTTTTTTCCCCCTCTTGGTTTATGTGTTTCACAGTATTTTATAGTTTCATTACTTTTATGCATCTGCCAGTAAATGCACTGAATAACCTTTTTGTTATCTGTTCCACTACATGCTGTTCTTACTCAAATTCCAGCTTTGGTTGGTGTATAGAGCGTTGCCTTATGTTGCTATGTTAACAGTGGAGCTGAGCAACTATAATAAGCCAAACCCCCTTTTCAAAACCACCTCTCCTCAACACATGGGTTTGAGTCTAAAATCAACTTCAGGAAGCATCATTCAACATGCCATCCAACCCAGCCATCTTGCCAAGAGAAGGCTTGTCCTTCCTAGGAAATGGGCATAATCCTTGCTTAATTGTAATATGAAGTAACATTATTACAACTAGGACTTTCAAGGCCTTTCCAGAGGTTAAAACTCTCTGGGATGCTACCCTGTGTGAAGAGTCGCTATATAAATGCAAGTTGTTGTTGTTAAATTGACCTAACATTGCTTTCAGCTACTCTTCTTCCAGGATGTGAATAAAGACTTTAATGGGTTTTAAGTTTGGAGTGTAAAATGTTCTGTTATTTGATTTTTAAAAAGGTAGTGAAGCTTACATTAAAATGTTTTGATGTAAATAGGAACTGTCTCAGAGTTGCTCACCATCAACTCTTTATTGTCCTGTACCCGCTTCCTCTGCTCGGCTGGCTCTGGCCTCCTGCTTGTCCCTCGTCACCTCTGCTCCATCATCAGCTGCTGCACTGTCAGCCACTACGCTCTGAAGCTTTGGAACTCTCTCCCCCAATCCCTCGATCTTGCCCCCTCCTTCCCCTCTTTTAGATCATAACTGAAGACCTTCTTCTTTGACCATGCTTACAGTCACCTCCTCCCTCCCCCCCAGACCCTCCGCCCCTGGTTCAACGTCAGGCCAATTGCGCACAGCAGTGTCCAACAAACAGTTGTGGATTGAGAATGCTTTTTTGGGGAGATTATTACCCCCGGAAAGCAATCCGCCAACCAACTAACAGCGAGTTGCTACTTACTGCTAGGTAAACTAGAAGTGTGGTGTAAGAAAATTTACCTTAGGTTTTGCCCCACTCGGGAATCGAACCTGGATCCTCTCACTTGCGAGGCGAGCACATTAACCATAAGCTACAGGACTCCATGAAATGAAATGACACATCATGAAATACAAAACACACAGTCACTATGCTTCACAGATGTGCCATGGTTCCAGTGGACGTGGGTGTAATGAAATGACACATCATGAAATACAAAACACACAGTCACTATGCTTCACAGATGTGCCATGGTTCCAGTGGATGTGGGCGTAAGTGAGGCAGAGCAACCTGGAAGAGCTCTATGAGTGTTCAAATATTAATTTCTGAATGTTTTTCTAATCTGCGTCTTCCCCTTCAATTAGTGATTTTCCAATCTCAACCACACTAGGTGGTATGGAAGGGAGGGGGGGAGAGGGAAAGACATGGAGATGTGCTCGGCTTGAGAGGAGGTTGAGATCCATTTCTGACGTGTGATTTTAAAAAGAAAACCTAGATGCTCATGTTCAGAAAGTAGCATTGTCATTCATCCCAGACCTGTAGCATTGTCATTCATCCTCGACTCCCCTCCCCTCTCCTCCAAGCTTGATGTCTATCACGGATTCTCTAAACGAGCTCCGAGTCATTACTTTATGTGGAAGGTGCTGTATAACTGCAAATTGTGTTCCATTGCACACTTGTTCCTTTATTTACTAACAAGTGTTGGTGCTATTGATTTGGATTACTGTTGAAGGTATCAATTGAAAGATACAAAGAGCATTCATCCCAGTTATTGATTTGAGTGGTGTCTGGGGGTTATAGTGGACATATTGCATACTATCCTTTGAGATCACTCTGAGAAGCGCGATACTTTATTGTTGAAGGGAAATTAACATACTGAAGTACCAATGTAGATTAAACTTGTGGGTATAAGACATCCATCTGAACAGTTGTCCTTCATTGTTTTGAGCTCATTTGCGAGGTCCATGACCAAGCAGTGGATTTGCAGTGAAAAGGGGGAAATGGGTCGCTCAGCATCCTGGTGGCAGAAGTTTCACGATGGAGATGTCTGTTTATCAAAACACTTCATAAACTTGTTTGTATGTTCTTAAGTAAGCTGATGGAGTTTCGCTCATGTCGGTCACCGTGCTGACCAAAAAAATACCCTCAGGTGATAGGTCTGACTAACACTGACTGGTTAGAACTAGGATCCTCACTGCATAAAATGACATCTGTGTCAATCCAGTCACTCTGTCCACTGCTTCCCTCATCCCATAGTGACTCAATTCTGCTGTAGTACCATCTTAAAATGGGGTTATTAAACAAATCAAGTTGCACACCAATATTTGTTTCTGTGCAAAGGTGGTGTACGTGTCTGTGGTGTGCCTGTGTGTATGCACATGTGTGCCTGTGTATGGGGTATGGTGTGGGGCATGCGTGAAATGTATGCAAATGTATGTATGTGTGCATGCATGTGTATGATGTGCGTATGCGTGTGATTGTGTGTGATTTGCAACTATTGCAAATACACTTTATGTGTATTTGCAATAGTTCTCTGAGGTTGGTTATGAGTATGAATGAGACCACATCACTGAATATGGTGCGTACTGCAGTGCTGAGCTTATAAACATGCTAATTATGACGTATTCTGTGTTTTTAACAGAACTAGTTTCTATAGAAATGGTTGAGAGTTTTTTTTGTAAAATAAAATCTGATTTGCTTGATACAGGCTGTTTGTTGGTTAACCAGTCTTGGGCATGTAAATGGAATAAGCTGTGTCTGAAATCCTTGGTTTAGTTATTTACAAGATATTCTTTTACCGAGTATAGGTGAAGGTCACACAAGGTTTAGTTTTTTCCAATGAAGGGGATCTGACTACCTGGTCTGCCTCTGTAAGGTTCATACGTATGTGAATGGCTCTTTAAGTGATTCTGATGGACCATCTGTTATTCTTTTGGAAACTTGAAGACTTCTGCCCCTTTGTAGCATTGCAATTAATGATGGAAAACCCACTTATATTCACAACCACATTAACAACATGAAGTCCATTTCTTACCGACTGAAGGGTTTTCACAAAGCTCGTGGATAAAGTGTCATCAGTGGTCAGTTGATTAGCGACGTAGAATGTTATTATCCAAGCACACAGATTTTGTGATCTTGTAAGTTACATTAAGGGCCTGTGTCTCCATTCTCTGGTGTAATTCTCCAACTCAAGACCCTCCTCTTCGACCATGCTTTCGATCACCGTTCTTCCCCCTCTGCCCTCCACCCTCTCCGATCCCAATCCCCAGCTCTGGTCCGAAACTCTGATTGTCCAGCACCTTGGGACATTCTCCCGATGTGAAAAGCGCTATACAAATGTAATTTTGTTGTTGTTGTAATGTGTAAATATTTTTGCCCTTGGAGATCTTTCAAGTCAGTACAATGGACTTTGTCGGACTTTGCATCTTAAGTTAACTTTGAAATGCATGAAGCTTGCTCTGTGTGTAAAGTGTAAAAACTGCTAACTAATGAATAATTTCAGCTTGGGACAGAAATGCTACTGTAGGCCTCAGTGGGTTGAACAATAATTGAACTGAAGTGAGGAATGTTAACAAGCTCAAATGTCAGTCTTGCAACGCTGACATTTAAGCTGATCTGCACTTTCACTCTCCCTCTTTGCTCTGCTTCTCCAACTACATTCACCACAATTACTTTTTTGTGTGTTTAAAAAAAATAAACCGTGTCAAGTTTAACAAACAGTGAACAAGTTAATCTGCAGTCACTAGTGTCTGACTATGTTTAGGCACATACACATACACAAGAAACTGTATTAAGAAATGTTAGGGGAGGGGTAACAAATCCTTGCTGAATACTAATTGCCTGCGAGTTGTTCGGGGAGACTGTGTAAGAATGGAGGATTTGTTGTAAATCGGTCACTGGCTCTATTGTGCATAGCTGAGAGGTTAGACTGGTGCTGTTAAGGTGCCAGACTTATAAAATCCGACAGTGCCCAATGATTTGATGACTAATCTGAGAGAGGAAAAAAAAGGTTGTTTCTTAGTACTAACAAGTTTTATCGAGATAGCAGCTAAAAGCAAAAAAAAGTTTTTAATCTCTTTACAGTTTAGCTGCTCGCTGCTTTGGCCTGAAGAGATAAGCATGTGGACTTTTGCAGATTGACCGTTTGCCGAGTAGCCTGTCTCTCCGCGGAGGTGTTATCTTGCTTTCTCAGCTGCCTGCTCTCTGTGCCTGCCAGTGTTTGCGAGCGCGGCTGCAGTGCGTGTAGCTTGACGGAGGATCTGAACGGTCTGTGGCAAGCACCAGCCACAGTGGAAGGCTGAGATTGTTTGTGCATTGTGTGGCTCCTGCCCTGAACTTTCTGCTGGTTGGTCAACGGAGAGAAAACAGTTACGTAAATTTTGATGGCTTACTTGAGGGTAAATGATGAAAGTTGGGAGGGGTGAGGTGGGGGAAGTGGGGGGGAGAGTAGGAGACTGTTATACCCACTGAAGGCCTTGTGTTTAGTTTTGGGTGGGAGGGCTGTTTCTATTTTGTTTCTGATTCATGCTCGCTCTCCTGGGGCAAAACTCCACTGGTGCATTTGCATAGAAATGAAAAGGTGAGTTAATGATTCATTGGCTTTCGCTGACCTTTCAAATACACACGACTAGTGGGTGCAACTTTGCTCTTAAGTTTCCCTTTTTACGTTCAAAGCCCTGCCTTGTTGTTTGCAGCTCATCTACATGCCTGATCGCTTGAAGAGACCAAACATTTTACTGCTGTACCCTCCCCTGGGTTGCAGGGCAATCTGATCCCAGCCTCCTTCCTTCTTTTAGTTTACATCACTGTTAGACTTGAATTGTTTCCGTGCACAGAACAGTCCTTGTTGCAGTATGTCTGTTTAATCTGGCGTGCTTGTTTAAAGCCCCCGTAATGGATTCAGACTCCGATTCACCTTTCAATTACTCTTGGCCATCTTTTCCTAAGATGAGGATTCGACGCAGGGCATCCAAGCAAGGTAGAAATATTACAATGCCTTGTTGTTATTTTCTTGGTTGGGTGGGGGAGGGGTGGATTGCATCTTAAAATTACCTAATATTGCAATTTGAAAAGGAAAGTCTTCATTGTTATGTGATGCACAACATGTAGTTTCTTTCTCAGCAGTGCTGCGGACAGTGTCACTCCATATGTTAGTTAGTGAACTCTGTTTAAACCCAAAATATTTGATTTTAAAGTGTTTGCAGCAAAAATTAAATAATTGTGGTGGATATTTATGACTCACCTCTACTCTGTTTGTTGATCTCACTGTTTTACATGCCTTCCTGTTTACAGTGGATAGCAAAAATAGTAGTTTTCTTAGATAATTAATTACTGTGATTCAAGTAGGTCCACTGAAATGCATCAGGAATGATTTGATTTGAGAGGAAAATGTATCGCCTGTAACACTGGATGTATAATTGTGCCTTTTAAGCTGGAAGGTACGACTTTGGCTGAGTATGGGGTGGAACGGGTTAACATTTGCTGCACACTCGCTGGCAGCCAGAATTCTTAGTCTGTGCTAGTGATGTAAGAAGGTAAAGAGAACAAAAAGATTGCTGTATGTGACATTGCAGTAATGTGCATTGCCCACTAACTCTCAGACTGGTAACTGTTAGCGACTTCGTTAGCTCAAGAAAACCAGAAATAACAATTAAAACTTAATGGGGAGTTATGCAAAACAGTTTTTCTACTGTTTATAACTGCTGTAAATACAATGAAATTCAATCAGTCATTATTAATATTCTTGCAAAATTCTACTAAAGTAGCTATTGTCTCATTATTACAAGTTCATAAGTGTATGTTCTATTTGTCTTGAAAGCAACAGGCTATTCTAAAGTTCTATTCTATTCTACAGGCATTCATTACACCTGAGAAAAATGTTGCGAGTAAAATAGTGTGTGCATTTCAAGGTTATGATTTTGAAGTGGTTTTTGAGGTCTCGTAAAATGCATAAGGGTGGAAATGATGGTATTGACTAGCTGTCAGTTACCTGTTATCCTGTTATCAGGCAGCTTGTCCTCTGCAGTGAGATAAAATACATAAGTTCTCATCGGTAAAGAACCAAAATTGTGTTCTCCAGTTAGGACTTTAGACAAGGTATCATGAGGGCCTAGGAGCCAGTGTTAGAATGTAGGCTGTGCACTGGTGTCATATTGTAAGTTTCTAACTCTGTAACTTTGCCGTTCTGCCCCGAATATTGTGCGCCATAAATTCAGAATGTGGGAGTGACGCAAACTTTGTTCAGTTGCCAAAAATAGCATATGTTGTTGGGATGTGAATTGCAGTTAATTATGTTTAATACACACTAGCAAACAAATGGAGATGTTATTAACCATGTAAATGATACCCCACTTGCTTTAAGCATATAGAAGCAAATACTGTTATAAATCAGTTTTTGGAGTCCATAAAATCCCAACCTACAATAGCGCTTTCATTAGTCAGCGCTTCTGCATTCACTGCAAATGCATGGAAAAGACAACCAGCTTCCCATGGTAAAAAGTGGTCGATTTTCAAGTTGTTGCCAATATAGCATCAAAGGGGAAGTGACTGCCTGAAAGCCGACCATTTCTTTAGCAGGAGAGGAGCATCTGGGTCTGCAATGAAGCTGGCTGCAAGTCCACAGGGCACCTGCCTTCTAAGTGTGCCAAAGGCTTTTTGCAGGCTAACCAAGTGCCACACTTTGCTGTTGCGTTGTGGCAGTGATGGTGTTGAATGCCTCATTTAGTAGCGCTCGCACCTTTACTTCGGAAGATTCTGTGTTCAAACCCCATGTTGGGACTTGTAGTCTAAAGCTGACACTCAAGTGAAGTAGTGGGAGAACAGCGCCTTGTCAGAGATATTGTCCTTTGGATGAGAAATTAAATCGAGGTCCCATCTGTCTGTTTGTAATTGTGTTAAAGGTCTTCTGATGGGAATTCAAACTGAGAAGTCTGGTGTTCAGAGAAATGGTCCTACAGATCAATTGGCCATTTGGGAGATCTAAATGTGCCTTTTAGCACATAGACTTCTGAGAGCACAGCACTGTGTTTCGGGTTCATACCATCAGAATGAAGGTAGCAGGCCATCAAACCACAGCTTAATAAATTATCAAGATTTTACATCTCACCTTTTGAAGAGCTCCTTCAAAAGGTGAGATTGTGACTGAATCACAACCAGTCTTGATGATGCATTACAGTAGCAGAAAATGGGGCATATGTTTTTAGGTTTATGGGATCTTCTCCCAAGTTGGTCTCCTCTACACCTATCATTACATCTCTTCCAAAGACTTCCATCCTCATTAGTTTCTTTGATGGATGTTTCACATTATCCTCTGAGTGTTCATAGGAACAAGTGGTGGCCATTCAGCCAGTAGATAGCTGTAATAGCTCCTGACTATTTTTTAAAATCTTATTTCCCCATTTGTTCTTTATTTTCTTTAATACCCTTGCTTATTGACTGTTTATCTGTCCGTCTCCCTATTAAGCAACCCAGTCAATTCTGGATCTATGGTTTTGTGACATGCATTCCACATTCTTACTGCCCTCTATTTGAAAACGTATTTGAAGAAGTACAGTGCTTCAATTTACTTGGAAGCAAAATAGCAATGATATGATGCTGCAACGAGTGGTCAACTTACATTTTATAAAATAAATAATTTTATTTTATAATTAAAAAATGAAATAAAATGAAAACCATTAATTTTATTTTATAAAATGTAAAATAATTATAAAATAAGATGTAAATACAATTTGTTGTTTTCTGACCTGCTACTATCGCCATTACGTACTTATTCATCTTATGAATAAATGATTTGTACTCTCTTTGGACACTGTAATAAGATCAGTCTCCTGTCACTCCTTTGATTCGATTGGGCCTTACACAAAAGTGAACAAAATTGTATAGAACTATGAGAACAAATTCCCATTTCCATACACTGCAATATGGCATCTAAAGCTGTAAAAGCTGCAGTCACCTTTAAATGCTGATTGAAGTCGTATCAACGTTTCAGATCATTATCACGTGCTCTTTTTCCTTGGCTGCTTGTTCTGAATGTGGGCATATTCACTTGCACCACAGATTGCTCAAATGCTGCTATGCATTACATCCATATGTGCTTGTATCTGCAAACAGTTTTAACAAATTAGATCCCATTGTAACTATAGTATATCATTCCCCTGGCCAAGGCTTCCCGTCCAGATTGGCACAAGGAATCAACTGAACCTAAGTACTTATACCAGCACGTGACTGGAGGAAATAACTTCTCACTGTTTACATTCATTTCCCTAAAGTGCTTCAGCTGCAAATTCTGGGGGAAAAATGCATCTTTAGTATAAAGGAAGCTTTGTGACTGAGTTCTAACCCAGGCTGCTCCTTGGAGGAGGGATCAGTGAGATCTAAATCTACAGGTATCGCTGTGGTTTAGTTTGTTCAGAGAGTAACAGTATATAGGAAGAGCTTTGTCCACCATGTACCACCACCAGCAAGTCCACAGCTGTCTGACAAAATGGAAATCCAAGATGGAATTTTTGTTTGAAAAGGGATTTTATAAGTTACATTTGTGGAGTCCTGTAGCTCAGTGGTTAGAGCACTCGCTTTGCAAGTGAGAGACCTGAGTTCAATTCCAGGCAGGGCGAGGGGACGTGGAGCAGACCGGAGCCGGAGGAACGGAGGGTACGGGCAGGTAGGTAGGGGGATAGTAGGTCGGAGAGGTAGGAGGGAGCAAGGCCGTGAATGGCCTTGTAGGTGAGGATGAAGGATCTTGAAATCAATCCTCTGGGGGATGGGGAGCCAGTGGAGGCGAGCGAGGGTGGGAGTGATGTGGTCCCGAAGCCTGGTGCGGGACAGTACACGAGCTGCAGAGTTCTGAATGACCTGCAGCTTGTGGAGGGAGGTGGCGGGAAGGCCGGCGAGGAGAGAGTTCCCATAGTCCAGCCTTGAGGTGACAAAGGCGTGAACCAGGGTTTCAGCAGCGTGAGGGGTGAGGTAGTGCCGTAGTCTGGCGATGTTCCGGAGGTGATGGAAGGCGGTGCCAGTTGTGGTGCGGATGTGAGGGAGAAAGGACAGCTCAGGGTCGAACAAAACGCCGAGGTTCCTGACTGGCTTTGAGAGGTGGAGAGTGCAGCCTTGGATGCTGATGGTGTCAGCCGCTGAGGTGCGGAGGCGCTGATGCGAGCCAATCAGGAGGGCCTCGGTTTTTCGCACGTTGAGCTGAAGAAAGTTGTCTCTCGTCCAGGACTCGATGTCGGACAGGCAGCTGTCAGGACATCGGTGGTCGTGGAGTTGAGAGTAGAGGAGGAAAGGTAGAGTTGGGTGTCATCCGCATACATGTGGAAGTTAACTCCATGTCTGCGGATGATGTCACCAAGGGGGAGCATATAGAGGGTGAAGAGGAGGGGACCGAGGACAGAGCCCTGAGGGACACCACATGAGACAGTGCGGGGGGTGGAGGAGAAGCCATTTGTCGAGACAAAGTGAAGACGGTGAGAAAGGTACGACCTAAACCACTCAAGGACAGTGCCTTGAAGGTTGAGGTGGGAGGACAAGCGGTGGAGTAGGATAGCGTGGTCGACCGTATCGAATGCTGCCGATAGGTCGAGGAGGACGAGGAGGCAGAGGGAGCCCTGGTCACAGATGGTCAGGATATCATTGGTGACCTTGACCAGGGCAGTTTCTGTGCTATGGGCAGCACGGAAACCTGACTGAAGGGGTTCGAAAAGTGAATGGGTGGAAAGGAAAGAGCGCAGTTGGGAGGCGACAACTCTTTCCAGGACCTTGGAGAGAAAGGGGAGGTTGGAGATGGGCCGGTAGCTTGATAGCTGCGACGCATCAAAGGAGGGTTTTTTCAGGGTGGGCGTGATGGTGGCAGTTTTTAAGGGAATGGGGACAGAGTCAGAGGAGAGGGACAGGTTGACAATGTCGGTGATATGTGGGGCAAGGAAGTGGAGCTGGGAGATAAGGAGTGGAGTGGGGATGGGGTCAAGGGAGCAGGTGGTTGGTTTC